TTTTGATGTTTCCATTATTTATTCCCGTTGTTCACATACATGTTATTTTCGAATTGAAGCATTATGCAGAAAACGATCATCATCGAATTAGTACTAATACCAATGACAAGCTATATGAAGTAAATTTTTTTGAAAATACAATATCTCTAGTATATCAAATTGGAAAGTTGAAAGCTACGTTTGGTGGAATGGTTGAATCCTTGACTTCAACTAAATGTATTGGTTGAAACTTCCGTCGTTATTAGTCTTTCTAAATAAACTTTATATCATATTACTTGATACAAATTCTATGAGGATAAAAAGCATATTGTTTTGACTTATGATATTAGACTAGAGAGTGTTGCTGTGATAGTGTGAATAATACAGACTAATGCCTTTCAGTATTATCTCCAATTTTCATTATTGTTAACATATACAATATGGAGAAATACCTTTGAAGATTTACCATAGTGATTGTTACTTGTTACTAAATAATCTGTCGCATTGTTAACAATGAATAAATCGGATGACATATCGAACACTACGTCTTTTTATCATGTAATCACGTGGGTAGTTTACCCGTTAGGACAAGATAACAATATGGGATGGCATCAGATCATACCGTTCTCTATTGAGGTTTCGAGAATAATCGAGTTATTTATGGAGGCAGGTGCAATGGGAGTATCTTAAGATGGGAATGTTTTGTTATGAGGCTTTGGGAATAACATAACGTAGGACTTCAAATCTCTGAGGGTAATTTGAAACATCAATTTAATCTCCGATATTTTGTTTTCATTTTCAGTTACACAAGTTGTTTACCAATTATTCTTTTTTTTACAGTTCCTGGATGGTCCACTTTTATTTCATAGAATGTCGTGTCGTTCTTGCTAGATCACTAGTAACTGAAGAGCTTTACTTAATTGTGACTCCTTGACTCCAACCCAACTGTTTGTAGATTCACATCATAGCAATGTTGTCAAGACTATCCTGCGGATCATCATCACTGCAACTTCCCAACAGTGTTGCTGTAGCTTTTCGTTGCTTTTCGAAAACGACTTACAATACTGCACGATATGCTGGACGTCGAGTTGCTGAAGGAGTTAGTCACTGAATTGAAAATTGATTCATTGTTGAAAATTGGAAGTTAATGAGGAGTGCCTCAGCATAAATAATTTGTTGTGGCTAAATTTCATGTGTTATAGTGTAGTCGAATGCCTGTCTGTTGTAACTCTATCTGTAGGCAGAATCCTCGCTGTTGTTGATATTTCATTGAATTTATTCTGCCTTTATAATATTATTTTGCAGTCACTTAAATTTGCATTCCGTCCACTCCCGTAACAATCTTTGAAAGTTAACGTTACTAATTTCTTCAGAACTATGGTTTTGGAAGCGCTACACGAACATCTCTTAAAGAACGTTTAATGGGGCCTACCACCGGAAAACGTTTGTTGAAATTCACTCTTGTCATTCCTAATACCACTTCGTACTTTCAGATTTAATTTTGTTTCATATTTGAGAGTTAATTTCTTTTCATTTTAGCATATACGTATGGAAGTGCAGCCGTAGCTGGGGCGTCATTACTTGGAATTGGTGCGTTGTGTTATTACGGACTGGGCCTGTCGAAAGAAGGTCAGAGTATTTTAGTACAGTCTGGGTTAGTTGTCTTTTTGTGCGCGAATGTTTCCTTTTTTTTGCATTTTATCTACTAAATATTTTTTTTTTTTTTTTTTTTTTTTGCATTTTACCTACTAAATATAAACGTAGCGCTTATTTGTGCCTTTTTACTCTCGATTAGTTTATTCAGTCGTATTTTTTATGTGTGCCATAATTTTCCCTTAGAAAAAAATTGCCAAGCAATCCACAATGTTTACGTTCTTTAGAATTTTTTGAAAAAATGGAATGCTGTATATAGTCGTACCATGGTCTTGTTCTTTGATTTTTAGAATACTGTCATAAGCAAGTGATATATGGTTGAGAAGAGTTTATTCTAAATATTGTGGAGGCCGTTTGTTTAGTTCACTAGTCCCAATGTTACTCAATTGTAAATCAGATACACTGAGTGTTTCCCTCATGAATGATTTATAGCTACTGGTGGCTTAGGCGGCTAATGCCTCATATTGTTACTACGGAGTATGTATATTCTTCAAAAATTTTAGCGGTTATTGCTTGAATAATATATTTGTTGGACCAAATTTCTATTAGGAGCCTTTACTAAGAAATTACTTGACAAACTTATTTCAGATGCATTTTATTTTCCATTTTTTATTTCCAGGTTATTTGTAGGTGAATGTCGTTATCGAAGAAGGACTGTATAAACTATAAATAACTGATGAAAGTAATTAAAAGTTGAGGCAGACAGTTTTTTTGTAGTCTAAGGTTGCGTTTGTTTAGAACATGGCCAACATATGTACGTGATCGAATAAAGGCGACATATGGATATTTGTTTACATCGCTTGGGATAACAGCAGCTTCAGCTGTGGCAGCATCGAGATCGTATCATATTTCGCGTTTGATAATGGGGGTACGTTCTTCCTTTTTTATTTGTTCTTTTTTTTTTTTTCAGCTATTTAATTTTCTTAATTAAAACAACCTCCATGACTTTATCATGGGATAGAATACTGTCATAAGCAAGTGATATCCTATGATTAAGAGTTTATTCCATATATTATGGGGCTGATTTATTTAAATCAGTAATGCCAATGTTGCTCAACCGTAGATTAGATACACTGATCCTCTTGAAAGGTTTATAACCACTAGTGGCAAGCACCGCTAAAGTCTACTCGTTACCATGTTTATATACGTATTCTCGAGAATTTTATCTGACAATGACTATCAGACCAAATCGGGTTTTGTGGTTTTCATAATAAATTTTAAGCTGTAATTTTAGGATAAAATAAGTATTTGAAAAATCTTTCCAATTGTTGAAGCCTGGGTTATTTTGAATACGAGATTTTATTAAGCACTTTTGTGAATCGGGTAGGCACTTATGTGTATATTCAATTTTATCAAACAATACGAATGCATGGAATACAAAGAGGATAGTTACATAAATATAAAAAATACAACTGAAAATAGAAAATCAGATTTATTGCTCATCAATTTTTTCAAATTTAGTCGCCATTCATCTCAATGGCAGCTGTCATGGCAAGTAGTATCGCAGTATCATTAATCGATTACGACAATACATTGCTGAAACATGCAGCTTGGATTCTGCATGCAGGCTTAATGGGTACCTTTATAGGGCCAATCTGTTTGATGGGTGGCCCGTTAGCTATGCGAGCTGCTTGGTATACTGCGGCTATCGTCGCAGGTATTTTTCTTAAAGTTCACTTTTTCTAAAAATTTACAGACTTTAGCTTTAAAGAAGCATAAAATACACTCCATTAATGATGTTAGTAATTGCTTGCTTTCACTGCTTCTATTTCATACAGTTACACGATCAGCATGAAAGAATATTGTTACCACGTTCTTTATTTTACAACATTGTGTTAATTCTAACAAACAATTACTACTGTTACTATGATATGAGTAGTAAGAAGTTGCGAGTAAATTTTAAATCTACTAATCACAGAATAAATTTGGTATTTTCATCACATATGAAAAAAACATTAAATCGGATTTTCAGGTCTATCAACAATTGCTTTCACAGCACCTTCTGAAAAATTCTTGATGATGGGAGGCGCTTTAGCTATGGCACTTGGTGTTGTTTTTGCATCTTCCATTGGAACTTTCTTTCTTCCTCCGACATCCGCGTTGGGTGCAAGTGTGTTTTGTGGATTTTATTTTTGAAGTTAGCTTCCAAAACTGAAATATTATTGATGCTATTTTAAAGTGAAAAAAAGTAATGTTTTTAGGTCTAATGTCGATTTCCATTTATGGTGGTCTCATTCTCTTTTCACTGTTTTTGTTGTTTGATACACAATTTGTTATCAAACGGGCGCATATGTATCCGATTTCGGGCACAAGTGAAGAGCAAATCTACAAGACGGGATATTATGGTAGTATTGGCACTGGATATTATGATGTTGCTACACCAAAGATGCGTCGATTTGATCCTATTAACGCGTAAGTTTGTTCTAGATTCTTGTGCACATTGTTATATGAGTAAGATAGGAGAGTAATAATTAAGTGCATACTATATAAATACATGTTTTCCTTTTCTCTATATCAAACTTAAGTTATTGTAAGCTGAAGGTATAATAAAAAATTGATTTGCTCATTTTCTGAGTCACTATACAATGCATTTCAGACAGCTCTCCATTTATGCAGATGTCTTGAACATTTTTATTCGATTGGCAACAATAATGATGGGCATGCAGAGTGGCAGAAAACGATAATTAGCACGCTTAACACCTACAGTATTCCGTTATATTAATGATAAATATTAATGATATCATGCAGTCGCATATACTTGTAAAATTAGTGTAATGACTAAAATATCAGTTCTTGAGCAGTGATTATATTTTCGACAAAGATTTTGTAGAAATTCATGCAACTTTATGCCTTTTTTTCTCTGTACCAACTGTTCAAATTTTTACTGTACATAAAGTTCATTTCCGGTAGCTGCGTTATTCGATCCACATCTTAATTATTTGTGTTATTCAAGTGTTTTGTTATTCAACCATGTTTCTCTAATCTTAATATTTGGAGATCTAGTATATTCGGTCATTTTTTATGGAGATAAAACTGATCAACTAATTTACTTACTGGACTGTGTTTACAGTGAAATAAAACTTCGATATTAACCAGTCCTTCCTAATGACTGCTTGATTTTCTTTAAAATTCAACTTTTTAAAAATTGAATTGGTTCAGATCTTTTTTATGGATTACTGCTTAAAAAAACACTTAACTGACAATCCTGTCTGGAAGAACAATCTTAGTAGTGTATAATGTATAAATAAGCTATAAGTAACAAATGCAAAGGTATATGACCACATTGTATGTGCATAAAAATTCTTTGTTGATGTAATACACTGGTAAATTTTGCATGATGGAAATAAGTAACGTGAATATTGAACAGCATGCAACCAACCATAAACATATTTTTAAAAGTTAGTGAAAGTAGTTTCTTTTTTACTTTCCACATTTTTAAATTGAGAAAAAATTGTTTTTTCTGAGTTTATTTTGAACTTGTTTTGTGAATTTTTTTGTATTATCGGTCTTTAGAGCGTGCGCTGTATGTGCATGAAATCAACCTGGAATAGAAGATTTGAAAAGAAATGTTTGATTAAACTTGTAAGATTATTCCTGATGTAGGTAATGTGCTCTTGAAGCTTTAAATTTCCAGCTCGACTGGAATTATTGCTACTGTTCCGCTGATAATAACTGGTGCTTCATTTATAACCCATTACTGCTCCGAGGTACGACAAGTGCTTCATTTTATCAATGCTTCAGCCACTTGACATTATTATTAACTCACAGCTGGCATGTCGTAATACTGCTAGATATTGCGACATGCAGGCACTAAAACTTCCAGTTGTTTGTTCATTCTATTATGCTGTGATTTGCTTCTTTTTACTGGACTTTTTGAGAGTTGTGTTAAGAGTTATTTCGTTATTGTAAATATTTGAGAAAGATGCAGTTCACCCAGTTTTTTCTCATCCATCAAACTCCTTATACAGCTTGCACTCCAACTTCTTTTTTTTATTTCTCTTTATTTATTCCTTTCTTCAGTTAGTAGTTCTTAGTAAGAATCCTTTTTTGCTTTTACCAGTTTATTTGTTTTATGTCAATGTTAATCTTTAATCTTAAATCTTGAAGTGATATTATCTCTAAGTAACTGATGGGTAGAAATTTAGAAAACAATGAATGATGTCCTGAAATGGACTGGGTGATAAGGAACCGCAGATACTGTTTGACTAAGGGCTAAAGGGATGAGTGTTGTAAAGATAATTTTATTACAATGCTTCACTCTAATCAGCAACCAAAGATTATTCATTTAATCAAATTAAATATAAATATGAATAAATATTAAGTATGTAGATAGTTCTATAAATATTCAGCTGTTAGATTATTAGTGCATAAAGCAAATAACTATCAAAGGATAAAATGTTAATAAAAAGAGATGGAGGTTGTTTTACGAAATGTTAAAAATCACTTTAACTGCAAACAAGGAAGAAGGAATATTTGTTTTTAATTTCGAAGATTTATGGTTAAGTTGACACAATTATTCAAATTCCATTCATAAGAAAGTCCCTGTTCAATAATTTCTCTTTCGAAATAATAGACAAACTTCTTAGTAGACTGTTTAAGAAGCGATTATTTTAAGACTTATCTTTGAAATAATTATTCCAGTTTGCGAGTGAGGAAAACATTATTGTTTTGAAATAAAACTTCTGAATATGCATAATCGCTTATTATTAATTATTTTAAATAAAAGTGATTTCTAGAGTCGAATACGATAATTAATGAATGTAAATAAAAACAACTGCTTCGAGAAGAGAAAAATATTTCTTCTTCCAACCACATTAGTACAAAAAAGGAAAATAAGCAAAAACGAACCAAAATCTAATCCCTACTCTTTCCGACACTTAACTTTTTATCAGTGTGACTGACCCTTAATAAAGATCCATCTTGTGCGCAAATAATTATCACAGTTAGTTAAAGCTATAAGTTTTTCTAATATTATTAGTTACATGTAACAATAAGTGGGCAAATAATGTAACCTAATTCTATTAAAACACTAAGCACACAAAATGCTAAATAGGCAATGATCATCATTATTCCGAATATTTTATTCATTTCCCATCGACAAATTTTCACAGCAACTATTAAGACAATCAGCATTAGAAATAGAAGACCGACAGAGCAGACGAGACCTTTTGATATAACTGGTATAGTGTCCAAACGAGCAGCTGAGAATGAATTAGTCAGCCAGCGAATTGCAAATTGCAGCAGCCAAGGAATTGGTAATCTGAAATATAATCCATACTATTTCAACAATCATATTTGTAACGAAAATATTATATCAAAGTACCCGACACAAATATCGAAAAGGTTGCTTCCAATGGAGCTTGACACAGCCATGTCACCAAGTCCTTTGCGGGCAACGATCACACTAAAATGATTTATGTTTACTTAGATGAATGGTTAGAATAATATTAGATTAATTTCGCCTTAATAAGTTTTGCATTCATGCACTCACTGTATAATGCAGCATGTATAAATACTTTCAAGACGATGAAGCTTTGAAGAAATTTTAAAACATATATTTTTCGCTGATCAATGAACGTCAAGAACATATTCAACTTGAAAAAGTCGTTTTTCTACTCATAAAAAAGAATAATGCGTATATAAATGATAATAACAATAAATGATAACTATTAATATTAATTTTCTGATTTATTGAGTATTTTTCAGAAATTTATATCATGAGTAAAGCAAAGTAACAACTAACCTGGAAATAAGATCAGGTACACTCGTCCCAGCAGCTAACACTGTTAAACCCATTATCTAAAAGTATAAGTTTGTGATTGACTGCTGATCTCTTGAATTCAAAAAACAATATAAAAAGTTGATTTCAGCAATTTTCCTGAAATAATTGACAAGGACTAAAATACAGTAGTGATGCAATAAGTATTAGCGCACCATTGAAAATATTTTAATATTTTTGGACAGGGGGAGCAAGGAGGATTTATTGAAAGTTCTAACATTTAGCAAACATCTTTTTTGAATGTTTGATCTTCAGCATGTAATAGTGAAAAAAGATCCTCATAGAGTATTCATTTGCTTTTAATCCTTTATTCAGTTTATAGAATATATGAAATGTAATCACTCTGTCCGCCATTTAATAGAATGATAAGAAAGCGAAAATTAGAGAGTTCCTTGTTATAAAATTATAACGAAGCTATGATTTAATGATGGGTATTACGAAGATAAAAAAGTAAATATCGTGCTATCGCACAATTTAACTAATTACTGTTAGTGTAGACGACATCCTTCGAAGCTGAAAAAGAAATTAATCACTTATATTTGCATGTGTATGCAACTCACTCACTCACTCACTCACACTGTCGACCATAGAGTAATGAAATGTGATAAGGAACTATCATAATTTTATGTTTTAAAAAGTGTATTTACCTCATCCGGCATACCTACTGTTTCACCGATTACCTTTGCCCACCAAATCATCAGATATGAGAAAAAACCAATCCATAAAATTGATCCCATGAAAGTTATTACAAAATACTTCTTGGATGACTGAAAATATTGGAATCGAAGATAAAGATATCAAATAATATCTCTCTAAATATAATAAAATATGCATATCATGTCTCCCGAGAACTGTTCAACATCTTCTCGAGAGATTTTTCGAGTTATGCTTTTTTAATTATGTAATAATAGTGCCTGGTCTATTCTAAAAGATCTCGATATTTCGTTTCATTCTCCTATGCGCTTGCAAGAATTTTCCTGCCTGCCAGTTCTTTTCACCGAATTAACTTACTGAATTCTTCGAATCTGGAAGTGTGTAATAAAGAGGAAGCATAATTGGAGCCAAAAACAGATAAGATAATTGTGCTTTAGTTGAAGATGGCCACGAGATGTTGATTGGTACTTCCGACTCACTAACTTTTTCTTTTAATACAGCACACTTCTGAACAAAAGAAACAATCAGAAATTTTTGGCTGAATTATAATAAATTGATATCTTTGTTGAAATTCACCAATAAAAGAGCATTTTACCCATCCTTGCTTCTTCGTATGCTGAATTTTTACTTTTATTGTACAGAGTTTCCCATTTTTCTTCTATCTTCCAGCTTTTAAAAACTTTAATCTCTTTTGAAAACTTTGATAAAGAAGTTAAAAAATAAAATATACTCCATAATTCCATTATTGTGTCTTAGATTAAAATTGAATGGACTTGGGATGGAAATGGAGATGAGACAAATGCATTTCACCTCATGTACTACAACTTTTATAGATCCTGTAGGGTTTCGTCGAGCAATTTCACAATCCATTTCATTCATCAGCTTCGTTATCGATCCGGGGAGCTGAAATTCGTGTAACAGTTTTGCGTTGTTGTAATTGTCAATTGTTTTTCTATTTAGGAAATATTATTCTTTTCTTAAATTTTGAGAAGTCACTGCGTTGCGTCAGTCTGCCACATTGTTGATAAATTCAGAATTTCTAAAATTCAGATGATTTGATAAGCTAATTGAAGAAATTTTAATTGCAAAAGGCAAACAATATTCTTCAGCTTGCCTCAATCTCAGGCATAACATTTGAAATATTATTTTGACAATTTCTTTGAATCATATCATGTAATTTCGCTGTTGTCGTTTTAGTGAATTCATTTGAACCTGAAAAGTAATTTTTCACAAGTCGATTATTCGCATTTATAACATTGGAAAGATTGAAATAGCTATCATCAGGTTTATAGCATTTTTTGTTATGCCACATTTTTCTTATCTGTCGATGACACAACAAATAAGATAAATGAGATTTTGACTACAATGAATTAAATTTTAATTAAATACAGTCAATCATCGACTATGCTTCTACAGCCTCTGATTGTGAAATAAATTCATACCGAAATTCATGAACTAATACCTTCTGCTGAGTGACAAATTGGAGACTTATTTTGCGTCGAAACTGATTTCATCTGTTTTACAGTAATGATAGATGGTGACGTTACCCTTCCTTGCATTGATGTATCATTCAAAATTGAAGAGCATAAATGCTAGAAATAAAGGAAAAAAATAATATTTAGATTTAGAAAACATACTGTTAATAATGATGCGGCAAACTAACTTGAAATCAAAGTTTAATTCATAAGTTAACTCAAATAAATATCACAACCTGAGTGATTTCATAGAGAATGATTTTGAAATTTTTTTCAAGTTGTTCGTTATAACTCATAACAATACCATAAATAATATAAATAATGAAGAGTGAAATTGCTTCGTGCCACTGAATCTCTTCGTCTAGGAAAAACAATACCAACAAAAACAATGCTAACATATAGAAGAAAATGTCTCTGAAATAACTGATTAAGGAAATCCAATAAGTTCTATACGAATGTAATTGTTTGTAGTTACTGTTTAAGATCAAGTAAACAATTGTTTCTTTAAAAAACTGACAAATTCGGAATGAGTGAACATTTAGATAAATATGAATATACCTGAGCATGGGCCACCAAGTAATTTTCAGCGTTTCTAATGAAAAGAATGTACAAAATGCCAACACACATAAAATATTGAATGTAGCACTACCTTGAATCATTTATTCACTTTTCATTTGGTGAATTTCAAATTTATTTAAAATCATATTCAATTAAATGAGCTTATGCCTGGAGTCTGACAGAGGAACCAAAGCAAAGAAACCAGCTCTTATGTTCCTCAAAATTTTGACTAATGAATAATGCTGGCTGTGATAACATGATGCAGTAATTAGTTCGGAAAAGGACGGAATGTATTGAAAAATGAAAGTTATCTCACCAACAATAGTCCCAATGCCGACATTATTTCGA